CTCTCTGTCTACTTCCCACCTTCCCTCCCTCCCACCTTACCTCTCTCCCTCCCTTCCTACCATCATCCTTCCCTCTCCTCCCTCCATAAACTCCACTCCTCCCACAGACGCGCACCACATCCCTCCCTCGTGACGTATGCAAATGTAAGTTCCTTTAACGCCTGCGAGAGATCTCAGAAGCGACAGGGAAATCAATATGATTCATGATAGGTATTCCCGGCGATCGGCTCGGCCTGCCCACCGTCTGCAGGACCTGGGCTCTCGGGTTACTAACATGCTACGCTCGGGGTGACGTTAGGGGCGGTAAGCAGCATAGAGAAGGGTAGTAATTCCATCCTTACAGTGATGTGGTTTTCTGGCTTGGATATCTTCAAGGGTAGGAAATTCTCTCTGGAAAACCCTCTCTTCCTCCTGCTACTTGCTTTTTACTCCTACGGTTCCTGTTTTCTTGTTAAAAGTTCGTGATGATGATTCTTGTGAATTTATGAAAGATAATTTGGATTTTCTCTAATTTATTTTGTTCATGTTTATAATACGCGAATCTTATCTTGACGGGGGAAACTGTATAGTTATTTAATAGTGAATTTAATTATTAGTGAATGTGTCAGGTACAAGTTTTCCTTCTGTGAAAAAAAAAGAACTTCTGGTTGTGTATGTTGGTCGCACGAGTGAACAAACATGTGTGTATGTAAGGATACACACACGTATATATAAACTTCCATTATAAATACGCACACACAGACACACACACACACACACACACATGCATACAAACACCAGGTACAGTATTAAAAAAATCGTGAGGTGGATGGCGGGAGAGAGACGGGATATTGACCATGCAGTAGAGACATACCTGCTGCAGCTCACCGCCTCAGTTGAACCATTAGGAGTGAGAGACCAACCACCACCACCTTACAGTCTGCTTGTGTATTCATGACTCATCCGACAGATAATTGACACCAACCACTAAGCCACACCAAGATAACAACTGGATTAAATGAGCCTTAATCACGCGACAAATTGGTTATTACAGTTTAAAAGGCTACATCTTTTTCTTTCTATATAATTTGGTTATGGCTTAATGAAGGTGTTGTAAAGGGTGAAGAAAAGAATAGTGATTGTGTGTGTGTTTAGATTGTGAGGTAATGATGGTGGGATTGGCTGTGTTGTGTTGGCAGGTTCAGAACTGTGTGGTGAAACATAGAGTTAATGGTGATAATGAGTATGGTTGGCCTCTCTCTCTCTCTCTCTCTCTCTCTCTCTCTCTCTCTCTCTCTCTCTTCAAACACCCACACACGTATGCACACATATACACCTACATGCACTCACACACATGCACATATTTAATGTAATAGATATTTATTATACTAAATAGTGATGATTGTCGATTACTGATAACTGTTAGATTGTTATATTTATTTGGATACTTCTGACTGGCCATAAACGGTCATGTAGATCATAAGTATACATAAAAAAGAAAAGTTTCATACAAAATCTAACCTAAACTAACCTAACCTAACCTAACCTAACCTAACCTAACCTAACCTAACCTAACCTAACCTAACCTAACCTAACCTAACCTAACCTAACCTATATGAAATGGAATAAATTTTGACCATATACTATTTAATTTTCATCATTTAGTTTAACATTGTATATATAACATCTTTTTTACCTTCCAATACGACCTTATGATATAACCTGTAAATATTAACACACTATTATAAAGTATTACAAATATTTAAAGACCAATATATTAACAGAGGTTCGTGCACATAATTGACTAACGAGAGAAAACACCTGGGCGTGACCTGGTGTCTTCTGGGCTATCATCATGAGCTTTGAAATTCCTGAATATATTTTTCATCGTTTATAGTGTGTGTGTGTGTGTGTGTGTGTGTGTGTGTGTGTGTGTGTGTGTGTGTGTGTGTGTGTGTGTGTGTGTGTGTGTGTAAAATAATAATAGTGATGGTTATATTATTGTTATTATTATTATTATTATTATTATTATTATTATTATTATTATTATTATTATTATTATTATTATTATTATTATTTACTTCTGAAATAAATAACATGTCTCAATGATAACTCGATACACAACAACTGTATCCTACAAAACAAAATTCAAAACCATATAAAATGTAGTACAGGAGAAGTTACCATTACACAAGTCTCTCATTACAAAAGACACACTGTAATCCCCCGTAGCACAAACACCTCCTGTGAACCTTCGGGATAATGACACCCAAGACATCATTAGATATACTGACGAGGACTAAAATGCACCCAGTCACTGTAGTTTATTATGTAGACTCGTTATTTGAGGCTTTGTGAGGAACCTTAGCTGGATTTGTTAATTTGGTGTAAAGTGAGTTAGGTTTATGAGTGATGAGGGTTTGTGGTGAGTGGTGAGTGGTAGTGGTGGGTGTGGTGGTGGTGGTGGGTGTGGTGGTGGGTGTGGTGTTGGCGGTGGGTTGTGGTAGTGAGTGGTGGTGGTGGGTGTGGTGGTGGTGGTGGGTGTGGTGGTGGAAGTAGTGGTGGTGGGTGTAGTCTGCAACTGCTCTACCAAACCTAACACTCATATCATCTCTTCATAACTTAAGTGTTTGTAACTTTAAGGTGTAATGGACAGTCTGGTAATGTGTTTAACCCTTCCTAGAATAACTCATAACTCCAGACACACATATTTCTTAACTCTTTATTGTTTTACTTTGTTCTCGGGTGATACAGTATACAAGGGGTGTATCTGTAGCTCTCTGTCTGACATTCAAATGCTGGCGACAACCGAGAGTTCAGAAGTCTTTATATTAACTTTCAAGAACGTGGTTGAACTGTCAGCCTCGTAGAAGTTGTAAAACACAAGGAAGAACAGTTTTTTGTGCCAGAAGTTCTCGTAGCGGCTGTTGGTCATCAGAACAGGCAGTGCACGTCAGCCTCTGCCCTCGATGCAGTTGGAAGTGTTCGGGAAAGTAATGAGAACCAGTTAAGGCAATATGTCACCTCCTTAATATAGCTGTTGGTGTCCCTGTGTTTGTAGAGCTGAGTAGTGAGAGAAAAGCAACAAATATCATGTGCAGTAAGGGACACAATTTCTCAAGTTTGACACCACCAGGAGTTCTGTCCCTCGGGTCTCTACACCCTCAGTGGCTTTCATAGTCATGTTGTAAATGAGTTGCATCGCCTCGTCGGGTCCTCCAAGACTATCTGCCGTGGAAGAGTTCACGAGGATGAGTATAGAAGCTCAACCACGCTGCTGCCGCTGTTTGTTGGTCGGTCAGTTACCTGTTGGCCTTCTACACCATCCAATACCAGTCCTTTGACCTATAGGATTTACAGTCCAAACCAGCGTCTCAAGGGATGACTGCCCTGAAAGCGTCCTCTCCATCATAGAGTTCATCATCCTATGCCATGAAGTATCCATCACCCTCAGGACGCCTGAGCCCTTAAAGCCACGTGTTCTAGCAGTGAAGGTTGTGGAGGAGGCACAGTAGGAGGAGGAAGCGCAGGGGGAGGAGTAGCTGCAGGAGGAGTAGCTACAGGGAAAGGAGGAGGAAGAGGAGCAGGAGTAGGTGCAGGAGAAGGATGAGGAAGGGGAGAAGGAAGAGTAGCCGCACACCTGCTGCCAGCGGAGAACAGGAGGGGGGTGGAGGTCTCATACCATGTCCCAGCAGCAGCAACACCAGGTTAAGTCTGTGAGGACGTCGCCCTCATAAACGTCAACACCAATTCACTGTCTGTTACCTCCCTAGACTCTTGTTATGGTGGTTATTTGGAGTCATTGTTCACATCTTCAGACAATGTACGCGAGTTATGTTAAACAAGTGACGTCAGGGGCATTGATATTGACAGAATATATAAGGATTTAAATACCATAAAGAAATTTGTCAGTGTCAGTTCAATGTCGATTTATCTCCGTTAAATTGTACGTTTTCAAGTTACTTTTGTTGAAACTATTTTTTATTTTGGCCATGACACTGTACATACGATCTGTTATTTGTGTCAGTCCCGTTAACTGTCCACATGGCATCACCTGTCTACTTCATCAGTTATTAATACAACCATTAACTTGTGGTTCATTACTTGACCTTCCATTGACATTTATAGCTGAAAAACTCTCATGGGAATAACCTATGAGAGACCATCCTTTAACGTGTCAACAATCGTGCTGAGATTACCAGTAAACTTCATCGTATGCATCATTTATTATCCAGCGTTGTAATCGTAATCGTTGCAATCGTAGTGATCCTTAGTTAGGGTAGGTAGAGAGGATGGTGAGGGCGTAGGAAGCAGTGAGTGTACACCTGATGGTCAATTTGGTCAATGATGCAACGAATCCCCGGCCGGTATGAGTGACCTATAGATATATGGTTATTCTGTATATATATTTATGAACGACCCTTAAATATTACAGTGAATGACCTTATCAACTATCGTATACAGTATGTAATTTTCTTTTTCGTGGTTTATTAATGTTTTATCTACAGAATAGCTATAATATCTACAGAGTCGACGTAATGGGAATAGATGATATAGTAGATGAAAAGGTAGATGAAATAGGAGTAGATTAAATGGGAGTAGATGAAATTGGAGTAAACGAAATGGTAGTAGACAAGATAGTCTGTTACCGTAGCAACCACCAACAGCTTCATCGATTGTGTTAAGTAGGTGGTGATGAACTACACACGTAACACACCACACAGGTGACACACCACACAGGCAACACACCAGGCAGTTGACAGATTACTTAAAAGGTGCGTGTGTGTGTGTGTGTGTGTGTGTGTGTGTGTGTGTGTGTGTGTGTTCTGTTTTACGGTTCGTGAGTGTGGATGTGTGTATTTGTATGTGTATGTTTACATGAGGCTATATTGTGTGTGTAGGTGTTTGTGTTTCTGTGTATCTGAGGTGTGTTTGTGCATGCTTAAGGACTTGTGTGTACATTTGAGTTTTTTTTGTGTTCGCGCCTGTATACATATGACAAATAGAGACAGCACGACGGAATGGGAGAGGAGAGAGAGAGAACAGGAAAGGAAATGCCACACACACACACACACACACACACACACACACACACACACACACACACACACACACACACACACACAACAATATACATTTCTTTACACGAAACCCAATCTTAGCTTCCATATTTTTTGTCAAGATCTTAATATTCACGGGAGCTCGGGACCATATCACAGAGACCCAGATGACCAGATGTGACCCCCCAGGACCAGCTGTGACCTCAAGGACCAGTTGTGACCCCAGGACCAGCTGTCGAGGCTTATGGGGGTCCCTAACAACTTGGTGTGGGTGGGCAGATGATGACCTACTGTATGAACTGACCAACAAGGGGGTGGCTGGGTGGTTGGGTGGCTGGGTGGTCTTATTGGTACGTGGGTGGCTTGTGGTGGGGGAGGCGGGAGTTGTTAGAGAGTGGTATGGGCGGGGAGTGGGCGGGTGGATGGGTGGGCGGGTGGATGGGTGAGTGGGTGGGTGAATAAGTATATTGAGGTCACTGGTATGTGGATAGATGTGGGGGGATGGGGCATTTTTATGTGTGTATTGAAATGAGGGTTTACTGGTGTGTGGGTGGCTGGGTGGATATACTGGTGTGTGGGTGGCTGGGTGGATATACTGGTGTGTGGGTGGCTGGGTGGATATACTGGTGTGTGGGTGGCTGGGTGGATATACTGGTGTGTGGGTGGCTGGGTGGGTATACTGGTGTGTGGGTAGCTAGCTGGGTATACAGACGTGTGGATAGCTGGGTGGATATACTAATGTGTGGTTATGTGTTGATATTCAGTCAGTCTTAAACAGATGTTGATGAGAATGTGGATTTGTGGGTAGGGTGAGTGAATCGGTGAATGGGTGGGCGAGCAAGTGGATGGGCGACTTTGTGGATAAGTGAGTTGCTTTAGAAACAGGTATACGAAAAAAAAGAGTGAGCAAGCGAGTGGACTGGCGAGTAGCATCAAACGACGAGTGGACTGCCAAGTAGCATCAGGCGAGTGGGCTGGCTAGTGGTGCTGGCGAGTGGCTAGGTTTCCTACAACCAAAACGCTCCGTATTACCACCACCAGCAGCAGGAGCAGCAGCCACAGGAGACCACTTGAACATAAAAGCCACAAACAGACTCAAACGACCTTGGTCTTATGGTCGACACTCCCCCAGCAGCAGCACACGAGGACCGGCCATCACACCATCACTCTCAAGGACCACATGGGATGGGGTTCGTCTCCCAGGTCTAGCTAATTAGTTTGGAACTTGGACTCAGCCATGACTACCCATTACCAATGATCGTCAAGCAGACGCTCCTACCGACGAAGGCGCAGAAGGGACGATTATTAGATTATATCGTATCGGATTGATTTATTGGTAGTTTATATAGGGATTAATTACAAGGGACAGACAGAGGCAGACAGAGACAGACAGAGAGATAGAGACAGACAGACAGACAGACAGACAGACAGACAGACAAACAGACAGAGATAGATAGATAGATAGAGAGAGAGAGAGAGAGAGAGAGAGAGAGAGAGATGAGCCAGAAAGGTCGGAGGTGATGTACAACTCTCGAATCGTTCCTCATCTTCACCAGAGATTTATGTTGTCATATTTTTATGCCAAGATGTTTGTCCTTCTGCGAGTACCACTTGGAGGAGGGTTGGGGCCTCGGCACTTGAGGAAGGGCGGGAACCTACCTGGAATTGCTCTGTGTATGTATGTATGTATGTATGTATGTATGTATATATGTATGCTAACAGATTTTTAATATTTCCGGGCAACTGTTTACGCCCTTCATCATATGTTTGGTCTGTATACATACCAACGGTGATGAAGTACAGAGTGTGTATGTTAGTTAGAGTGAGTAGTGTACAGTGCGTAGTGTGCAGTGCGTAGTGTGAATCATCCTGCAGTACGTAGTGTGAATCATCCTGCAGTACGTAGTGTGAATCATCCTGTGACTCAAAGGGACACGATTGTTTACATTCTATAGTGGTCCATCGCCCCTCACTCTGCGTCCAGACCAGGAAGCTCTCTCTCTCACACACACACACTCTCTCTCTCTCTCTCTCTCTCTATCTCTCTCTCTCTCTCTCTCTCTCTCTCTTCAGGTGATATAAACTAAGGTGTCTAATTTCCAAGAGATTTTTTCCCTCGTCTTTTTTCCTTCCACCGCTTCCTTCCACCGCTCCCTTCCACCGCTTCCTTCCCAAACAGCATAACTCCACCTCACACTCTCACCCTCTCGGTTGTTCAAAATGTTCTTCAGTTCTCGCTCTATATTTTCTTCTTTTATCAATACTTTCTTCCAGCTCTCAATTCCAGCGTCATTATCGTGTCTATGTAAGGATCGTACGTATCTAATATCTAATATACTATAGGAATAGGCGTGTGTCTGTTTGTCTGTTGGTGTGTCTGTTCTGGGCAGCCGAAACGGCACAATCGTTTTTCATCAAACCTGGTGGAAAAATCGCAAAAAATTCGTAAAGTCGAACAAACTTGGTCCCATGTCGAGGGTTTCTTTAGGAAGGCATTAGTTAATAATTTTATTTACGATGGAAAACGATGCAAGCCTACGGACTTGGCGCACCCTAATTAAACATACAAGTCTACGGACTTGGCACGCCCTCATTCGTTGTATGCTGTCACGAGCGTTCAAACTCTCACACGGGCACGAACGTGCCCGCGATCACTTGTATAAAACACTATATGGCTGTAAATGTGTATAACATGATACATATATGAAATGCTGTAAGTGCCTCCTGGTGTGTATAACCAAACAATACACCTAACATACACACACTATGTACTACACTGTGTATACTAATACCACCCATCTTTGCCGTCGACTCCCTGTATAAGTAAAAGCACTTTATAAAAATTACTACATGGGTTGTTACAATGTTTGGCTTCAATTTATTATATTAGCATCGGAGGCATAAACTCGGGGAAGCAATTTTTATGTTAATTACGAAAGATTTTATGGGATATTGAAGGTGGGATTATAACACCGTG